TAATGAAACTTTCATTACATGGCTAATGTCATTAAACTTTATGACCGAGGTAATGAAATTTTTATTACAATGTAATGAATGTGGAGATGTAATTAAAAATAATGACGTTTAATGAAAAATAATGTCACAAATGTTATTACATTTCATTCATTTTTAACAGTGAGGTTTCGAAAAACGATCTTTCTGAGAAGCAACATATGTGTATTCGATGTATTTTCTCATCTTGGCGCCACGATGCCGCGCGCCTCTCTGGATTCAGCGTCGAGCACGGGATTCGAAAATTTATGACCAGGACCTATGCGGCTATGGTCTGACCCACGGGCATGCAAACAAGATGATTTTGAATCTTTTTTTTTTTTTGAAAGGCAAAAATAGAAAGAAACTTTATGACCAATTGTTTCACGCTTTCATGGCTGCTGCTCTCGTCCTATTAATGCGAGGTTCAGACCATCGAGGCCAGTTGCTCGGAAAAATTAAAACAAAGTGCAGATAAGTCACTTAAGCCAGTGACAATTTGAGCTGAAGTAGGAGGACATTTGCTGAATTGAGTTTACTTTTAAGTGGCTCACTCCTTTTAATATTTGGGAATTTTAAACTGTATAAAAGTGTGTTGTCACAATGCCTTCATCCCCCTCTCCCCCATATCACATTTAGTTACGATTTCTCTGAAAAAAATAAAAACTTTTTTTTTTGTTGATTGCAGGTTGCGATTACAGTGACGAATACTGCTATATTAAGTCTGCAGTTGCGTGGATCATATAAACAGACTATGGTGGATGTTTTCATGTTTGACAGGGACACTAACGAAACCGAGATGGCGCAGGCGGTAGTAAAGAAGGCTTTAACGTAGTCGACTTTTCATTACGTACGGACAATGAACCAAGCCACCAAGCCAAAGGCATTAAACTCACGACTTTTATGGCATAAACAATCTTCCTCGGGCAGAGATAGTGTCTTTGAAAGGGTGCCTGAGGGTCTTTTACCAATTTACGCACTTTTCAGGGGTATTTATCGACTCCCGCGTTCCAGGGGCTAAAATTGTGTACGCCAGGCCCAGGCACAGTTTTTGGAAAACCCCTCCGTAGGTTTGCGCTCAACTTTCGAAGTGCAATTGATTCGATTTAATTCATTTTAAATGTGCGACTAGAACATTCGGCAGTGCTCAGGGCTTTGAAACGTAACATGAGTTCCAGTTGTTTTTTTTTTGTAAATAAGGCTGAAAAGTGAAAATAGAGAGTCAATACTTCATTTTTTGCACTTTTCTGCCTTATTTACAAAAAACTGGAACTCACTTTCAAAAAAGGGCGATGGTGTGAACTAGATATATGTTTCAAGTATCCTGTACAGAATACCTAATCCAGGAGATCAATTACTTTTCGAGAAAACGTGCGCACCGAAGGTTGGCAGCGTTGTTTTTTGGCCGAAGTTTTCTACACTCGTAAGGTACTTGGGTTAAATGTCTGGCTGAATTTGGAGTCTATACGGAACACATTACAAGACAAAATTAAACTCCTTAATAGTACGAAGCATTTCTGATAATACATTGCCCCCATTTTCTTCGTATTTCGAAGCGATTCTTCATTGAGTTTTTACTGTGAGGAAAATCTTAGTTAAAGTGATCAACCACACGCAGTATTTATCTGCACGGTCCCTTTTTACGAGTAAACAGATGTGAGAGGTTGAGCGTGACAGCAGAAAACAACTGTCACACATCTCACGTACATTTGAATGTGACATTATTATATGACCGTTTAAACATGCCATTACGACAAGGCCGCTAGTTCGGTCATGCACTTCCGCCAGGTTTGCGTGTGAAGTACGCAGCCTTATTTCTTTTTAGTTTCACAAACGCTCGCTGAGGTGAGGTGCGGTTTAGTTTCGTTGGGAGCATGGGCTAACGTGGGGCGTGAGGCTTAGCCTACATGGCGACTTTCGGGGCTGTACTTTTTATCAGCGCTTTCGTCCGGGTGTCCAGCAAATACGCGGTATGTCCATCACGGTCAAATTTAAGTTTATCAAATACAAACTCCAACATAGACTCGCAGTTCGGGAGGGTCGCCGAGCGTATTTCAGATTGGGAAAAAGGTGTTGCACGTGTTGCCGGGGGCCACGCCGAGCGCTCGGGAACAACAGGAGGCCAAAAACGGCCGGCCACGTTAAGAGGATATGGTACACCTCCCCAGAAGCGGCATTTCCAGGGACGCGCAGGGACCTCTTTCTAACGCCGTCCTGGCCACACCGTTCGAGGTATCGATATGAAACTTGACACACGGGCTCAGAAGGGATCAATCTCAATGACGGTGCGTCCAAATTTTTTTTTGAACGCCTAAGTTAGGCCCCAGGGCAGTCCAGTTCTGGTCCAACTTTCGTTCAAAACAAGTCCTAAGAAAATAGGAATATCCAAAAAAGGGCCACGGCACGTTGTTGCTGCAACTTTGCTCTATCCAGAGAACTTGTCCCCATCTGCGTGCGGTCAAAAACAGAGATCAAAACCTGGTAGACGGCGGACCTCTGCACGGCGGGTTTGGAGCTAGTCGGAGAGAGGAGGTGCAATATTTGTGCCGACGAGCTGTACCGTCTCCAAGCCCCGCACATGTTGTCGCCGACTTTGTTTCACTGAATGGGGACTGTCGGGCTGCCCACCCTCGCCCGAGAGGTTCGGCACCGTGACAGGTCGATTTATGGCTCTAGGCTGTACGGCCAAACTTTTAAAAGGGGACATTTTCTAGTTTTGAAACTTGTACGAAGAGGTTTGGCGTGCTATTCTGGTGACAGGCAACTAAAATTTCAGTTTCTACGACCATTTGACCCGGACCTGTTGAAACAATGACAAATGTCAAAATTATCGTAGAAAATTAAAATTTGATTCGCCTGGCACAAGGAACACGCGCTGAGTGCAATGGTTCATGTCCTGAGAGTCTAGAGTCATCCGTTCAAAAATTTAACTCTCGGAGTACAAGGCCATAAATCGAGGCCGTCACACTGCCGACCCTCGGCTCCGGCGCGTGAATGAGGAGGGGGCCAGCGGGGGGCCCGGCGCAGAGACAAAGCAGCGGGCTGCAGGCGGGCCGCCCGGAGGGGTGGGCGGGGGGAGGCGGGGTTAGTAGAGCTCGTCTGCGACAGTGCCTTTTCAAAACTTCGCAAGATGTTCAAATCCGCCGTGCAGAGGTCCGCCGTCTACCAGGTTTTGATCTCTATTTTTGACCGCACGCAGATGGGGACAAGTTCTCTGGATAGAGCAAAGTTGCAGCTGCAACGTGCCGTGGCCCTTTTTTGGATATTCCTATTTTCTTAGGACTTGTTGTGAACGAAAGTTGGACCAAAACTGGACTGCCCTGGGGCCTAACTTAGGCGTTCAAAAATTTTTTTGGACGCACCGTCATTGAGATTGATCCCTTCTGAGCCCGTGTGTCAAGTTTCATATCGATACCTCGAACGGTGTGGCCAGGACGGCGTTAGAAAGAGGTCCCTGCGCGTCCCTGGAAATGCCGCTTCTGGGGAGGTGTACCATATCCTCTTAATCCCCTGTGGCACTGGTGTGGCCCGAAGTGCCGACGGCGCACGCTGACCTGCTGGAGTAGCCCCATGGCGAGACGGACTGCCTTTCGTTCGGTCCAGATGACGGTGTCGGGCCGAGGGGGTAACCACTCGCGTAATACCCTGTACACAAAAACCGTGTATTACGCGTAATACACGTGGTCGTAATACCTTTTTCGGGTCAAATGTGCCAAATTTTTGCATTTTAAGGCCGTAATACACGTGTAATACCTCCGTAATACAGCGTAATACCGAGTAGTCTGTACACGATTTCTTGAAGTGTTTACCCCCTCGTGTCGGGCACTTCTTCCGCTGCTCTATTGTCTCGAGCCAGGTAGGGAGGGACTCGGCGAGGCTCGACTCGGGGGGCGACCCAAGGGCCCGCCACAAAATGCGAGTCTATTCTGGACGAGTCTATGTCGGAGTTCAACTGTACCGTAGAACGGGGTAATATGAGACAAATTTCGAGGTTTTATGTGAATTTCCCCCTTTCAATTTCAACTTGAGGTGCTGAGGTGTTCATCACTTGTTCATTGACCCTTTGGCTACACTCCCTCCAAATTTCAGATTTTTAGGTGCAGTAGGGACCTTTCAATAACCTTCGGAATGCCGTCCCATATTTCCCTGCAATGTGGGGTAATATGAGACAAAAGAGAAAAATGGTAAAGAAGTATGGAAAATAAACTCATTTAGGTGGGTTTGGAGCTTTTTAAGTTCTTTTCATTCATTTTAAAGATGATTGGGGACTATAATGAAGGAGGGATAAAATCTGGAGGGAAGAAAAATGGGTGTGTCCAAAAAGAGCTGAAAAATGTCTAAGAAGTCATGAGTTGTGCCTGTCACATGAAAATACTAAACGAAGAGCGTAGATGCCGGTCAGGTAGTAAAACAAATTCGTGTTAAAATCATTATTACTTGAATTAAGAACAGTGGAGTATGTTTGGCCTTATGTTTCCAACGAAAAGAGGTGTCTCTATTTTCCCTGCAAGGTTACAAAATTGTATTCCATCTGGAACAGGCGGCCCGGGAGAAAACATAACAGAACCAAATTTTGTCCTGATTATGTTGACATGATTGTCTACAGATTTAAACCTCGTTCGGACGAGAACCAGAGTTCCAACCGAGGTTTCTGGGGAGGTTTTTACGAACTTTATAAAACTTGTCAGAATTTAGATGATTTTCGTTTGGTTCTTAATAATCCTGGCGAGTCTCTGATTGCCTTCGTGCGTTTCCCGTGATCTGCTAAGGCCTCCTAGATCACGAAAAAAAATTCCCGATGGTCTTCTGAACAACCGCTTGAGAGCAACACGACAAAAACCAAAAAAAGTGCGCTTTGTCTCTATTTTCCTTCATGTCTCATATTACCCCGTTCTACGGTAGTTGATTTAAGTGGGCCGTTCCAAAGCCGACTGAAATCAATTCGGCCACACTTCTCTCTTGCCTGATTAATTGTTTTCGTTTAGGGTCCGTACACTATAGACATCCTCGACGTAGGTGCCTGTCCGAAAGAGGAGGTAGGAGAGTTCGGAAATGATTTCGAGGTCCACACTATCCGCCAGCATCAGCGAAGCGTCAGGGATCCCTTCATTTCGGGAAACTTGACTGTACGAAATGGAGCCGGGATGCCGGGAACTAATTCGGTAAGGCCTTACGTCTTTAAAAGCACTGAAGTTTCGAAGGGACACGCCACAATCTTAAATTAATAAAATTATAATGCCGATGCATTGCACGTTAAAATTTTGAACGTAAATGCATTTGCTCAAGACATCAGTAAATTAGTTTTCACACGTTTTCGAATGAAGCGCATGAGTTGTTTCAACCTAATGAATTTCCGTCTGTTTTTATTTTTGAATGGGGACATTCAATTCTATAGTTATGATTTTTGCTAATTCCACCGACGGAAAACGGGAGTACAGAAGTAAATGTCTCAGAAAGTAATGAAGGTTTCCCAATTCTTTTAGTGAGCGATTCTCACGTTTCGGGGTAGTTTTGACGTCTCTGATTTGCCGAGAGTGAGAGATATTCAATCAAGTTTTTCTGATTATTGGGGTCCTGAATGATGATAGAGTTATGGTATTTATAGTAAAGACCTTGTGCTTTCTAAAAACATGAGCCCTAAGGTTTTTCCATAGGTTTTTGTGGGTGTTTTGATCACGAAAATTACGTTTTCACGGAAGTTTCAAAAAAGTTGAAAATCGGTTTAAACGGCTGACTCGGGCTGGCTGTGGCTTATAAGTCGTTCCAGGGTCAAATGATACTCTTAGCCCGACATTTAAGCGGAAAATTTTTTCACCTTGTGCTGCTGCAACATTGGGTAAAGGGTGCCACGGAAGTTACAGGTAATTGTTGTTACACACCATTTTCTAACGCTCCAGCCCGCTTTGAGACCGTGTTGAGCATCTTAGATTTCCGCGAACCAAGCAATTATATTCCAGGGACTCCTTTTTGATGGCATTTGTCATGGAAAGTTAAAAGTTTGGCTTGGGGAGAAGTCCAGAACAGCCTTTTCGAAGTTTGTGTACACTGCAAGAAAATACCACAGCAAAAGTACACAAATTACTGGCAAATTTTTTATTAGGAATTTGTTGTACTTTCAAAGTACAACAACTGTTGTACAAAGTACAATGGAACCGGCATGATGAGTGCTGGGCAGTCCACGCCTCGTTGTGGTTTGTACAATTCTCGTTGTACTTTATAAAATCCCTGTTGTACTTTTATTGTACAGTTTTTGTTGTACTATTCACACTTTTTCTTGCAGTGTAGTCAAATTGAATATACGGTAGACATTTTTCGTTGCAGCATAAGTACCTTTGAAAGAAGTCTGGCGTATTGGTCTTTGGTTGAAATTAGCTCGAGACTTTCCAGGCTTCGAATCCCCATCGACAGTTGGCAGCATTTTCGAACCACACCGCCACAGGGGGCGGAAAGTTCGAGTACGTTCTCTTGGGACAGTCACAGAAGTTACATTTAGGGTATTCCAAACGCTAGGTAGACCAATCCAACGCACGTGAACTTTTTGAGATCTGTGCGTTTAGTGGGTAATGGCCCTCCCTAACATCAGAAACAAACCCCATGTCGATATCTGCGCTCGTTTGGGCACAGGAGTCAGAGGAATTGAAACTACCCCAAAACGTGAGGATCGCTCTAGTATCGACCATAGCGGCACCTCGGCGGGACGTTGTACGAATTTCATATTTGCATCTCTTGTTGCAGCTCACATTCAAGGTTGCGAAGTGGGATACTGTATCTGGGTGGAGAAGTAACTTCATGGTATTGAAGATGGGGGAACTCTGTCGAGCTTACAACTTGCATGGCGGCGCATACAAGTCTTACTTCCTTAAGCACTTGCCCACATGGCCGGTAAAGTGCCCCATCTACGATGTACGTGTGGCCATTCGCTTACACTTGATATTGACTTGCCAAATGTCTACACACGAAATGCCTTCGTAATTACTATTTCCGTAGGTGGTCTGAAACCATTTTTCGCTTAACTGCTTTTCGCACAAATATGTGGGTGTGGGCAGAATCGCGTTGTGCGATTCTTCGTACATACGAAGAAGTTCGCATGTTTCAAATTTTGTGACATCACGTACAAAATTGTACAAATACATTTAATGTGCACGTATTTAGGTTGACTTTGATCTTCCCCTGTCAATATCCTGTTCTCAATATTTTCCTTGTTCCATCTTACCGGAAGTAGTTAGTGTTCCCGATAATGTTCCACTGTTGGGCTCTGCGGAATAGGGTACTTTCGTAGGTCCTGAACCGGAAGCACGCAGACGCTATGTTGGCGGAAGTAGATCAACAGACATGGGAAAGAGACGGTAGTGAAACGAATCGGCCACACTTGCACATTAACAGTCGTTTTGTACTCATTTGCAGTGCTTATGTGTTTCGCGAGCAATATTTGTACAGCTCGGCTATAGTTTTAAATCCGAAGAGAGGTTATTTTCCGGCCAATATGGCGTCTGCTTGCTTCCGGTTCAGGATCTACGAAAGTACCCTTTTCGTAGAATTTTGAACTTCTCTGTCTGTAACGCAATAATTCCTCATCCCGAATGAAACGCATGAGCTGAGAGGTCAGTTACTAAGTGGGTCGTCCACTTATTACGTGACCATAGTTATGTCCTTGTTGCTCATGGGCTGTCAATTTCGTACGTTGCCAAGGCAACCCGAAATCTTTACTTCATAACCTTGGCAAGCTTTTAGGCGTAAAACGGTTGAAATCCAGCGAAATCGAACGAAATCTCTTCCCTTGCGAAATCTAGTGCAGCCTAACATCAAAAGTGGTTGTCCCCCTCGCATGACAGTCCAGAACTGATCTCTTATTAATGCCTGGTTTTGTTTCGAGTGGCCTTTGGTATTTGTATGCCCTCTGTCTGCAGGGGACGTACCCGATCTGCAATCTCTCTGCTCACCACGATACGGTTGCAAGTTTTCCCTCCTTGCCTTACGGCCGGTTTCGCCTGCACGCAATGGGCTACTACCTACAGCAGCCCTCCCACAAGGCACCCCGTGCGTGCTCTCGCTGGGTGTTAGAAATCGTCGAGAAGGTCTCAAGTGGAGGTTAGCAACAGGCAGGAGTGATAGGCATCACAGTGGTCCAAAGACCGTTGGAGGCGGCCCAAAGTTGACGGGTTTCGAGCTCTACAGTTACTAAATGGCACTCAAACCCATCCCATCAATGGATTGCTCTCCGAATATAGAATCCACTGGGGTCACACGTTCTGTTTGAATTCTGTTAAGCAATTGGAGCTCGGTCGCTCCACCACTCTTATGGCCCACTGTGCACAACGGTACAACCTTGCATCTCGGGCGCTCTCTGCGATTCGTTCTTTCACATGTCGCGAGCACGGCTGCACTAAAACTCTTCTGTTGTTATTTTTCAAAGAGTGTGAAATAAAAAGAAAAATGTGGATTGACTAAAGATGCACTGTCTTAAATTTTGCATACATTTCCCAACTACTGTCGTACTAACGAAAAAAAAAACTCGATCCAATCGTAAGCTGAGCAAGCTCGACCAGCCACACTCTACAAACTCAAGTGTGTACATAGTACACTCCACCTGGAGCACCCCGCCATTCCCGAAGTCAAGGAGGCGTCGAAAGGGCAAACCGAGACGTTCAAGACATCCTCATTGCGTAGATGAGGACATACGACACCACCCACTGTGCAGGTCTTGACTTCCCGTATGGAAAAAATCGTTTGTATGAAAAATGCTTATAGTCAGTGCGCTCGGACCCGTCGCCAGATTGAGGGCGACACACAAAATGTCGTTAAAACAAAATAAACTCAAAATTATAAACATCTTAATAGAAATTCAGCAAAGAGATTTGATTTCTAAGTGCTTTAAATCTTTGAACAGAACAACTTCCTATTAGACAGCATTCAAAAGCATTATAGTCACAAATATTTTTTTTTAAAATCCGATGCTAATTGTATTGCACGTCCCAATTTTGAAAATCAAAAATAGAATTTACAGGATTTTAATCACAAGAATAATTGGCTGAGCGATAGCGAAGCCTGTTACTCCAGTGGGGTTGAAAAGTTTTGTCTGTCTGTCGGTCTGTCTGTCCGCACTACTCCTCCTGAACGGCTCGGCCGATCTCGGTGAGATTTTGCACACTTCTTAGGTATGTCCTTGGCTCGGCACACGCGAAATTTCACCATCCTAGCTCAACTGGTTCAGTTTTTATAGGCGAAAAACACCTAAAAAACGGCGAAAAATAGAGATTTTTGCAGATAGACTACTTCTGTCTTGGAAAAAGGGGGGTGCCCCCCAGCCTCGACAAGTAAAAAAGTGACAAGGGTCAAGATCGTGTCATCTGTAGATAAAACAACTCTATTTAGAATTTAGGGGGGTCTGGGGCGGAGCCCCCCAGCATTCATCAAGTTAAAAGATAACCGACAACGGACAAGCCATTGCCTGCCGCAGGCAGGCTAGCGCCGCAGGCCAAGGTAGGTACGCCAGGCGTGGATTGGAGGAACAGGCAGCGAGACATCGCGAAGCCTGTTACGACAAGACGCGGTCTGGCGTAAACCTACCTTGTAATAGCCATGTATTGAACTGTGCCAACACCAGGGTGGGTCGAAAATCCCAGAATTAAACGGCGTATGGTCTTCTTTGCAGTTGACCATATTAGAAAAGAGATCCCACAATGCTGGGGTCTGGTGACGTCACCTTCCATCTCTTTGGAGGCTCCAAACTTGGGTCTAATAGTGAAAAATGGCACTTTTGGCCCTACAGGGACCAAACCATGAATCGCCCAGGATGCGGCTATCTCGCGATGGGTGCGGAATATGTTCCTTTATATTCCTGCAAAGTCTGGGCGATGTGGCTCAACATCTTGGTTAAGCCCGGGCACTTGTTTTAACGCTCAAACAAAGTTGCGAAACACTAAAAACTGGACTTAAGGGTCTTTTGTTTGGTCAAAGGTCCCATATACTTATATGCATAGAAAGGGCGCAAAAAATGCAATTTTTTGGTTTATATAACTTTGTGATCGGACGAAAATTGTTGCCAGGGTGAAACTTTACACATTTCAGCGAAAGCTCAAAAACACTAAAAAGTGATCTTTAGAAGAATATGTATTGCCTGTGGATCGAATATGATCTAACTGTTCAAAAGATCTAAAAAAAATGCAAAATTTTGGTATATAAAGTTTAGTGATTGGACAAAAACTGGAATAGTTGCAAAATAATTAAGAAGCAAAGCGAAGCAAAGCCCTTGTTAGGCAAGAGATGGCCCGACGAACGTTTACACTTTCTTCTATGCCAACACCAACTGGCAAATGATTCTGAGAAAATTCAAAAATTTCAAACCGTGCATGCGCTGAATTCAAACTAACAAAAAGAAAAGACTTCCGGTCAAACCTGATTCAGTTTACACCCTGACCACCTCACTCCATCTCGCGACTTTCAGTGATCATGTTCGTCAAACGATGGTTACCCGTGTTTTGAAACCATCCTTCCCGAGTTTATAAAATTCGTCAAACCAACCGTCGTGCTGTTGTTAGGTTGTGAGTTGTTGCACAGAATTGAGGAAAACATGACAAGAGAACCGCAGCCTTTAAAAGCAAGCCAAACAATCCAACCTCAGCAACAATGGAGGGACAGTTTTAATGCGCGACCTCTCTTTTGTTCAGCCTCGTGATTTTTGAAAGGGCGCAGACGCCGAGAAAAGTACTGCCAACCCATGAAAATAAATTTACTGCGTGTTTTCTGCTACGAATTTTTTACTAATGACATACTTCAAAGATGTTCCAATGTCCGGACACCGTGCTATGCGTTGGCATTGGCATTTTTGAATTTCCCGGCGTTTCGGTTTCTTTTCATCGCTTATTTTAAATTTAGACGGGTGGCACGATAGGGCCGTGCCGATGCCACGGAGATTGTTTTTTCATGTTTTGACGATTTTCTCAAACCAGGCGATTCCTTGTTTTGGATGAGCCAAAAGGTTTAGTTTTGAGTGTCACATTTTCTATTCAAACTCTTTTTCATCGAATCATTCCGATTGTTGCAAATGTATGTATGTTTTTGTAGTTTACGCACAATTTCCACAATGATTTTTTAAAATGGAATTTCCGTTTGTTGAATAGTTAAAATAGTTTCGCGCTGTTTATTTTGGAATCGAAGAGGGGGGGGGGCAGTACCCCATTCCGCTACATACTACCTGTCTCTCTTGCTGCGATCGCACCGGGCGGGCCACAGCGCCCGCCTGACCCGCCCCTGTCCGCAACTGTAAAGAAACGGGTCTAATGATTTTGTGTAATAATGCAAACCATCCTGAGGCACAATAATAAGATAACAACTCGATTTGGAGATAAGTCGAGCTTTTCCCTTCTTCCGCCTTCTGGATCAAGTGACCAAAGTCATCGGCGTATTTTTCCAAAACGAGCCAATGTCTTGTGGTAATTAATTTGTCGATGTCTTAGTGATTATTTATCGGGTTATATAAAAGACACGAGCGCAGTCATTCCCCTCGCATCAATAACAAGGAATTTAAAGGAACAAGGAATTTTGTTTTGATTAGCTTATCTGGAAACAGAAGTGTACTCGGTAAACGTTTTAGCACTTTAAATGGTGGCTCGCCATTGGGTATCCAGCGCACTACAGCGAAGAGACGATGTAACGATTCAGGAAGGAATGAGAACGAAAGGTAAGTTGTAAGTGTAATTCAAAACTTGAAGTATTAAAAGAAACATTTAAGTCATACTTGCACAGACCTTCCTAACTACTTTCGCATAGAAATTATTTTTCTCTAGCTTACAGAAGCATCCTAAATATCCATTTTTACACTGGTAAAACTAAAGCGTAGTATTACCCACTGTTTTCAAGCGTAATCAGGTTACGCTTGAAATCAAGCGTAACAGGCTCATCCGCCAAGATTCCCCCTATCTAAATGCATGGCGGAATATCTAGTCTATGCTTGATTTCAAGCGTAAAGTCTTCAAGCGTAACTTTATGCTTGACTCAAGCATAGTTACGCTTTAGTTTTACCAGTGTATTTGTGCATTATTCTGAACAGTGCACTGTCAGAAAATTCCGAAAAAAATGGAAAAATCATGGAGCTTTTCCGAAACTTTTGCATGGAGCTCTCCATAAATGCAAATTCTGGGCTTTCTCCGAAAATTTTCGGAATTTTGAACAAAAATGCATGCTTCACTATCACGAAAACACGAAAAAAAAGGTTTGCAACCAGTTAAAAAATGGGGGAAAGGTAAACCCCTACTTGTTTACCTCAGTTTTCATAATATTATGGGAAAGCTACAGGATATAAGGCAAATGAGCTCGAAAAAGATTGTCCCTTCTTTGACCATTTCAGACTAAAGAATGCTTCAGGGAAGCCCTCTTTAACCATTCTGAGAAAAGACATGCATTTTACCCCCCCCCCCATCAGGACCCAAGTAATGCTCTCAAGAACATCTGTTTAAGGCGGGACCCGGGCTATTGTTAAAGGTTTCCGATCCGGCTAAAATTTTGTACACCGGTTCGGGACGCATAAAGGAACCTCCCTTTAAATTTTTTTGGGGCTGGTTCAATTTTGAACGAAGTTATTGAACATTCAAAAACTCAATCTTATTTCAGTTCGATCTCAAAAAGTACGAGTCCAAGAGACAATTGCTTTGCAGAATCGTAAAGAGAACGGCGAGATCTAGTGAAATATGTATGCGCGAAGTTCGTGAGATAATATTTAGGCATTGAAATAGGTGTTTAAAGTTGATCAATTTTCGGCCCATGTTCACTGAGTTATTTTGCAGACAGCGGATCAGTTTCATGAATCGCCATCTGATGTCCCCTTCAATATTCTGTAAGCCTTTTTACCCTACGACTGATGGTTCTTGAGATCGAACTGAAATAAAAAGACCCTGTTTTCGGCTCATTCTCTTCGTTTTGAAGTTGGCGGTCGACTGGCGGGGCTCTGGACGGTGGCGCAGTGGCAGGTATCGGAACTCGGTGCAGGCCAGGCGGTGCGGCGCGACACATTTTTGACTGACAGCTGACCTGCAGCCGGGCATTGTCTTCGCCGCCTCCCCCTCCCCCGCTCCCCCCGCGCTAAGCCGGAGCTGCAGACGAGGACCCGGGGCGCGCCCGGCAGGCCGCCGGGCCGCCTCGGACTCTGATCCAGCCAGTCCCCCATCGAGCTCCTCACGACTTGAACGCGTCGCGCTGGCCAGAATTAGGCGAAAAGGGTGGCGTAAGGGAAAAGGGGTCATACGTTTCATCCACGATGCCCGATGGGACAGTCTGAAGGTCGTAGGAGAAATTTTATCTCCGATTACAATCCGTTGTTCGACTGGTGTCAAAATGATCGTGAAAGAAAAAGGAAACTGTTGGTACCCAGCCGCCACAACTTAGAAGTCACATTCAAATTTTAAATTTGGAAACTGGAGGGCGTGGGACTCCAGGGCCAGCCGCGCGCCTCGCTCCTCGGCCACTGCTTCCCCCTCCAGTACCCGCCTCGGTCGTCTCGCTTGCACTGCACGGGTGAGACAGAGATGGACAATGACATCTGTCTGAGCGCACGGCGAGGCCCGGGCCGCACCGGCCGCGCCGCTCTGTCTGGCCATCGACACTGTCAAAACGCACCGCGCTGTCCGTCACTGCCGAGAATGCACGGCAGGTATAGGACTTTCCACCCAGAACTAGGACCCTTTTATTTTTTGGAAGTACCTGACTGTGGTGCCATCTCTCGGGAAAGTGCTACATTACCAGGACGAAAATGGCAAGGAGTATTCGCAAAAGGAGACTCCCGTCAATACACTTTTTAAGTTCCTTTAGCCGTCGCGGGTGAACGGCCACCGGGGTCCCGCCTTAAGCCCTGAGAAAATCTCTCCGAAAAAAGATGGAAAATGAATGGAGTCTCCATGTACGTGATTATAGGGTTTTTCTCCATAAAATTTCGGAGCTAATTTCTAACAGTGTGATAACTCAAGAGCATAAATATTATGCTCTTTAGGGACGAACACTCAAATAAATCTCTTTCATTGGATTTAACAGGAATTTAACAGGAATTATGTGGATTTTAACGCTATGTGCCGCACATATGAATGTACAATTACAATTTTAAATAAATACTTAAGCAGCGCATGAGAGAGATTGTCCCTTCTCCGGAAACTCAACTGTGTGCTCAGTGCACTAGAGTGTACTCACGAGTACACTCTATTCAGCACGTACTTACAAGTACACTCCCGCAAACGTGTACTCAGTTGCATATATTTCCATTGTAACTTGCGTGCTGACGTGAGCACATTCTCGTTGGAGTGTACCCATCCGAGTTCACTCTCGCGCGAAGGTATTATCACTCTCGCACGAAGGTATTATTAGAACACGCCGAATAGAGTGTACTGAGCACTTTATTGAGTTTGATGAGTAATTAAATAGTGAACTGTCCAAAGCTTCCATATGCCTAAAAATATGATCGTGTTATGGACAACACAAGAACATAAACATTTAATGTGCTGTCAATGGCACCAAATAAGCATATTAACGACGGTCGAAAGCCACACTTTGCCCCTGTACACTCCCCATTTCCTACTGAGAAATGCCGTGCAGTCATAATATTGAGCTAATTCTAAGGACTTTACGACACAAATCTGTCATAATACAGAGAACTTTGTTCGTAATATGAAGAAGTTGCTCAAAAGATACTGAGAACTCTTCACCGTAGGTTATTACCTTCGCTGTGCAGTCGGCCGTCATGATACTATGCTTTGTGTTCGTATTACGAAGAAAAAGCTCAGAAGGATATGGGTTGGTTCGCCGAGATGTCGGAATTTTGAGGCACGGGATTTCCAAGATTTTGATGTGCGGCTTTTCGGATGAAATTTTGCAGGCTCATGCAAGATGGCTCTAGAATGGTCCCCAAGAAATATCAAAGCTTAATTCGTTCCAGTTTTGTTTCAAATGGCTTAAATATTGAAAGCGTACTTTGGGTCGACGTTTGTTACATTTGCGTCGACGTTTGTTACACGCGCGTCGACGTTCGTTACATTCAAGTGGTTTGGGTGGAATTTCAAAGTGGACAAAACTGACATCTATTTATAGAAATCGATTCGTCTGATCAGGACGAACAAAAAAATCCTAACATGTGTAATAGGCTTGGATGCGAAATAAACAAGTATTTAAGCTTCAAAAGTGCAGTAACAGGCGTCGACGCCGGGGTCCTGGCTGATTACATCCGATTACATCATTACACTTTATAAAAACCATCTATTTCGCAAGGAAATACCAAATTTGCTTGTACGTAACAGACGCTGTATGGTGTAAATAGGTCAAATGAAGCGGCAAACATGACCGTGTCCCAGTATTTGAAAATGTTTATCCGGGGGAGGTCGAAATTACGCGTTGGCGATTACAGGTTTATGATTGCGTGTTACGGCAAACCCTGCTGGAATACTGGATGCGAATAGGACGTCCTGGATTCGTCCAATTGCCATCCCGTACATCCACGACCTACTAGATGCATCTTACAGCTATCCACGCATCCTGCAGGCCATCCTAGTTTCGTCCAACTTATCCAATGACGTCCCACGCGCATCAAGATTAGATCCTGTGCGTTCCAGACAGAAAGACATAAGGTGTCCATGACGTATCCACCGCATCTCTGCGTTCCGAAATCGTCCCACCTGTGTCCACGTATCTCATCACGAACCATCCGCAACCCATCCTGGCATCCTTGCCATCTCAGAGCCATCCGCCTCGTATCTCTGCATCCACGTGGCCAAATTGAATCACAGTAGCGTCCTAGTATCCAACCGTTTGACGCATCCCTGGCGCGTCCATGGCGTCCGCCTTCTTCCGCAAAGCATCCCCAAAACATCCAGCGCGTCTGAGCGCGTCTGCAATGTCCCGTAAGCATCCGTTAGGTATCCAGACGACCCACCCTCATCCTGAGCGCATCCGTCGGCCTCCAGTCTATCCTAGCAATCTATTTGGCATCCCGAGTGCATCCAGGGCGTCCTGTACGCGTCCAAAAGCGCATCCGGACCGTCCCCTCGGCATCCGAAATGCATACCGTCCACCTCCAGCCATCCTCTCGTCATCCGGAATGCATCCGGGAAGTCCTGTACGCGTCCTGAGAGTAGCCGGAGTGTCCGAAAGGCATTCCGAAAGCATCCAGGACATCCAGGATGCGTCTTCAGTACATCCGACGCATCTTGGATGCATCCAAAAGACATCCAGTGCATCCAAAATGCGTCCAAAGGACATCCAACGCATCTAGGATGCGTCCAAAGGATATCCAACGTATCCAGGATGCGTCTAAAAGACATCCAACACATCCAGGGTGCGTCCACAAGGCATCAAACACATCCAGACCACATCCGCAACATCCAGATGGCATCCAAATCACATCAGTGACATCCAGATTGCATCCGAAACACGTCCATGGCATTCACTCTGCGTCAACGCATGTTCGGAGACTTTTGGATGGGCTGGATGTGATTTGGACGCGTCGGAGACCTATGTTCCGACCACTCTTTGAAAAGGTCTCAACAAGATCTATTCAAATCAGCAATAAAAATTTTCAGTTGGTCACCCCCCTTTTTTCAAAATAGAGTTTAAAAATCAGTATTTTGAAAAAAGGGGGGGTGACCAACTGAAAATTTTTATTGCTGATTTGAATAGATCTTGTTGAGACCTTTTCAAAGAGTGGTCGGAACATAGGTCTCCGACGCGTCCAAATCACATCCAGCCCATCCAAAAGTCTCCGAACATGCGTTGACGCAGAGTGAATGCCATGGACGTGTTTCGGATGCAATCTGGATGTCACTGATGTGATTTGGATGCCATCTGGATGTTGTGGATGTGGTTTGGATGCCATTTGGATGTGGTGGATGTAGTTTGGACGCGTTCTGGATGCGTAAGATGTACTTTGGACGTATCTTGGATGCGTTGGATATGAATTGGACGCCTTCTGGATGTGTTGGATGTACTTTGGACGTATCCTGGATGTCTTTTGGACGCACCCTGGATGTGTTGGATGTCTTTTGGACGCATTTTGGATGCATTTAAAGATGCGTTGGATGTACTTAAGACGCATCCTGGGTGCGTTGTATGTAGACGGTCTGGATACGCTCTGTACTCCTACAGGACGCCCTGGATGCACTCGTAATGCCAAATGGATTGCTGAGATGGACTGGAGGCCGACGGATGCGCTCAGGATGAGGGTGGGTCGTCTGGATACTCTACGGATGCTATTGAAGCTATTCAGTCGCGCTGGATGCTTTCGCGATGACGACGGACGGCATGGACGCGCTAGGGATGCGTGTCAAACGGTTGGATACTAGGACGCCGTTGTGATATAGTTTGCTTACGTGGATGCAGAGATACGAGGCGGCTGGCTCAGAGATGGCAAGGATGCGAGGATGGCTTGGGGATGCTTCGTGATTCGTGGTGATGACGAGACAAGGATGCTGGGTGGATGCCACTTTGCATGAAGCTTAAGAGTACTCAAAGTTCTTTCTCCTCTAAGAAGGAAGCGGTGGCCGAGGGGCTTAAGCAGTCGACCAGCAAGCGGAAGGGACCGGGTTCAACTCCCGGCAAAGTAGCACCACTTCAAGACGTTCATCACACATCAAGAAGACACCCAGCACTTCCAGACGCCAGTCCACAAGAAAGATCCATCGCATCCTCATCCGGAAGTCGTCTAACTCATCCAGCGCACAGGGGTCATCCGCAAAGCATCACTACGACATCCGGCACCTACCCTTACCACACCTCGCATGTGCAATGGATGCGATCAGGATGCGATTCAACTATTTTGGATTTTTTCAAGATGCGATGGATGTGGTTGGGATGCATTCTGGATGTCGAGAGGACGGACGGAGGCGGGTGGGACGCACTCGGGATGCTTTTGGGATGGTCCGGAGACTTTCTGGACGCGCTCGTGACGCCCCGGCTGCAGTGTGGACGCCGAGAGGACTGCTGGAGGCGGACTGGATGCACTCGGGTTGCCCCTGGGACGGTCCGGATACCTTCTGGACGTGCTCAAAACACCCCGGCTGCATTATGGGCGCCGAGCGGACAGTTGGAAGCGGGTGGGATCCATCTGGTATGGTTCTGGGACGGTCCGGGTACCTCTGGATGCGTTCAGGACGCCTCGGATGCATTCAGGATGGATCTGGCATGGAGCGGATACGCACTGGACGTTATTCGGAATCTCCGGCAGATTGTGAAACCTATGGGGTGGGATAGAGAGTGGAGGCGGATGTGATGCATTGTGGATTAATTTTGGATACATTTGGTATGCACCTGGGACAGTCGGCATACGCTTTGGATGATGTCTGGACGACGGACGGACACTGACGATACCTTCTGGATGCGGGAGGGACACCCCGATTGAGTCTCCGGATACGTAAGGACACATGCGGGATGATCCATGGACGAAGCCGGAGCGTCCTGAGACCATCCATAATGAGAAAAACCTGACGCTCTCGGGACGTATTCCGGAATACGTCCCGAAAATTCCGCTAGGGAGCGACCTATTATCCTTGTTTTGAACCTACCATACTCCTGTAGAAGTATTTCCACCGTTGCAGTTTTGTTTAATATCAATTTCGGAGCCGAATAGGGTTGGCGCTTGGTTCGGTGCAGGCACAAAACACGCTTAGAGCCGCGAAATACAAATGCCGGTAGCAAGTGACGCAATTTGCGGACAAAACTTTTCTTCCACTTTACGAACGAACGAATCGACTCAAGGTTTCGGGACTTAGGTTAAAATGTAGACGAAAGTGTCCACTCTCGAAAACACACAAAACTTTGGGTGTTTTAACGGCGTTATAAGGAATTAGACTTCACATTGTGTTTCAATCGGGGATTCGGACACCGAAAAAACGGCCATTTTTGTACCTTTCCGGCGCTATATGTAATACAAGAAGTCAAAAAATTTTGACTGAAAACATGCACATGCCTTTCTCTGAAGGTGTTTTGTTGTAACATAAGGGGTATTTGCTGATAGGAAGTCCGTGCAAGTGGTAATTGAGCTAAACATCTTTGATTTTAAAATTACCACATTTTGACGAACCAATCCATATAAGGAGTGTACAGCAAGTACATCAGGAAAAAATGGCTTCTCGGCCTGTGGATCGTCACTGTGTTGCCCTACGGCAGGGCCCGGAACCGCAGCCACACGCCGCCCTTGAAGCCGAGGATGCCGGCCTCAGGATCGCGCTCCACGGGCAGGACCTGCTCCGGGCCGGCCGTCACTTCGAAACGCAGCAACACGGACGCCAGGGCCACCTTGACCTGCTGCATCGCGTACCGCATGCCTGTCGAAACACGCAACGTGAACATAAACATCGTACTGCAAGTACATGTACACTTTATTGCTACGACATTTTTTGAACGCATACACACTCTCAATAACTTACGGTGCACCAACATATTATGGTGAACATTTTCTTTCACGAAATTTGTCAAAATATGTATAAACTACAGTGAATTCTCAAAATTTTGTAATGAAGTCATCTGCGCCTCCTTATTTAGTGAAATTTCTCTGTAATATTGTGAATCTTCAAAATGCGACTTATAGAGTGTATACACAACTAATAAGCGTTGCACAAGCTTGTTCATACGGTTCTACATAAGGAATTTTTGTGTGCCAGGCTCACCTGGGCATTGCCGAGGACCGTCTCCGAATCCCTGGAAAGCGCACTTGTGTCTTTTCTCCACTTCCTCCGCGCTGAAGTGCTCCGGGCGGAACTGGTCGGGGTGGGAGTAGAAGGCCGGGTCCCTGTGCAGCGCGTCCACGGGCACGTACACGAGGTCCCCGGGCTGCAGCGTCACTGGAGGGCTGCTGCCGGACGGATCTCGCAGTGTAGTCGTCTTGGTGCACATGCGGCGGGCCGCGTCGAGAGGTGGGTAATGCCGCAACGTTTCTGCAGCAAGATAATCGAGATAAATATTCCGTATACTGAAAACATCTGCTCATTACTATATGTCTTTACTTTGAAATACTCGGGACGGGCCAAAAACTAAGAAGAAATAAATTGGAAAAAGGCACGTCTAGAGGCTTGAAAAGGGCCATTACAGCCCCCCCTTTTTTGGCAAGTTGCGTCATATTCCCATTGTAAGTAGGCAAAAGGCATTGCCTGGCAGCCCCCAGATATGGAGTGAGGGAGCGCCAGACATCGGAGGCCTCCAACTATCATGTAACCCACAGTAAAACTTAGTGCACAATCATAAAGAGAACTTGATTGACTGTGCAGCAGTCTTAAAACCTTACGAAGTATTTTGAGCATACATATAACAAACTACAATACTTTGTTATACAAAGAAATAGTTCGTAAATTACGAAGAATTTTCTTTGTAAGCTTACGTATGCTCAAAATACTTTGTTATACAACCTACTTTTCTTTGTAAGGCCCATAATAGTTTGTAAGGTTTTCTCAGTGAGGATTTGCCACACGTGTTGCCTACCTACGTGTGTTGTTGCCGCCTAAATGAGGAATGGATCAAATTTTGTACAGTGAACGTG